TGGATGCCCCGAAGTGAAGTCTCCGCCCCGCGGAGCTGCCAGCCGCTGTCCAGGAGCCAAACGCTGCTGGTGCCGCCAGCGGGGCTGGGCCAGCCGCATGGGCAGCTCCCGGCCTCCCAGAGAGCAGTGGCCAAGCCCCGAGGCGCCAGAGCAGACACACAGCAGCCTCCCCCTGAGCGTTAGCATTGGCCTTGCAGTGCAAGCTCACCCCCCGCCGGCTGCTGAGCCCCTGCACTCTCTCTCCTGCGAGGGGGCGCGCTGGGAGGCAGGGCCGCGGTTATTCAAGACCCCCGTGGCCCTCCCCATCACAGACGCTCCCCACGCCTGGCCATGGCGCAAAGCTCCTTAGAACGGACGCCCCGAGCGAAAAAGGCTGCACACAGCTGGCCGAGGAGCACATGAGAAGATGCTCAACAGCATTAAGCATCAGAGAAATGCCCGTCAAAACCGCAAGGAGCATCCCCACAGCCATTAGCGAGGCCATTATCCAAAGACAGCGAGGAGGACGTGTGGGCGAGGCCGGGCGGGAGCCTTGCGCCCCGCGGAGGGTTGTCAGCCGGAGCACCACCGTGGAAGGCAGCGTGGAGGCTCCTGACAAAACTAAAACGCACCTACCGTCCGACCCACCTCTCGGTGAACGTCCAAAGGAACGGAAAGCAGGGTCCAGAGAGAGCGCACACCCCGCCACGGCGGCGATAGCTGAGTGGTGGCGGCAACCACCTACGTGCCCCTCACAGGGGGACGAGGCGCATGTGGTCCACACGCACGGAGGAATGTTACCCAGCCCCGAGGAGGAAGACACCCTCCCCGGGCCGCAACACATATGGACCCTGAAGTGGAATAAGCCAGTCGCGGAAGGACGGACACTGCACGATGCCATGGACAGCGTCCTGGGAACGGAGGGGGCCTGCGGCGGCCGAGGGGCTGTCTAATGGGTAGAGTTGCCGATTGGCAAGATGGAAAGGCGCTGGACACCTGCTTCACAGCAGTGTGGACATACTTAGCACAACGGCCCGTGCGCTTCAAAATGGTTCAGTCGGTGCCTGGCCGGCGTGGCTCAGTGGTTGAGTGTCCACCTATGAAACCGGAGGTCACCGTTCCATTTCCCATCAGGGCACAGGCCTGGGCTGCGGGCTCGATCCCCAGTAGGGGGTGTGCGGGAGGCAGCCGATCAATGAGCCTCTCATCATTGATGCTTCTCTCTCTCTCCCCCTCTCCCTTCCTCTCAGGAATCAATAAAAATACTATATATCTTTTTAAATGGTTAAGACGGTAAACTTTGTGTTTTTACCACAATAAAATAAATGAGAAAAGAGAGAGGGGATGGTAAAGGTAACGTCAGCCAATCTTCCCAACTCACAGATGGGAAAACTGAGGCCCAGAGAGGAGCGCGGGGCCCAGATACAGAGCCCTGGCAGGATCAGATCAGGACAGGCGTGCCAGACTGTGACATGCGGCAATGTGATGGGCAGGCCACGGGCGGCTGGGCTCGGGCTCAATGGCCCTGGTCGGTGCTAGCTTTCGAGGTGACCACATGTGCCAGGGCCAAGTGGGTTATCTAGAAAATTCACTTAAGAGGAGTAACACCTGTGTGGGTGACGTCAGCTAACTGTCCCCTCCCTGAGCTCCTTCAGAGAGCCCCCGCCACACCCCAAGCCAGAAGGACAAGGGGAGGGCAGGTGTCACGGGGTTAAAGTGTGGGAAACAAACATAGACTCAAATCTGCCTCGGCCATGGCCTGCACCTCAGCTTCTCCGTCCCTGAAAACCAGGGAAGGGCCTGGCTCCTCACCAGGAACATGGCAGAGCGTTAAAGATTTGTATTTTATTTTTTTAGAGAGGAAGGGAGAGGGAGAGAAGCATTCATGTGAGAGTGAGACATCAAGGGGCTGCCCCCTGCACACCCTCTACCGGGGATCAGTCTACAACGCAGGCATGTGCCCTGTCCTGGGTTCGAACCAGCAGCTTTTTACATGGAGATGTTTAGTAAAAGGAGTCCAGGATGCTGGTTAATGCTCTGGAGCTGGACTCGTTCATTCCTGTTGTGGGGACACCATTTCTTCTGTGTGACCTCTCAGTGCCTCAGTTGATTCATCTGCAAAATGGGGTAACAGTACCGCTTAGGGCTGCTGTGAGGGTCACATGAATTTGTCCATTGAAAGGGCTGGAAACCAGGTTTGGGACAGGACATGGCTCAGAAACGAGCTATTGTTGGGAGATCATGGGGCCAGAGTGTGTTCCCATCCCTCTCAGCTACTGTTTGGGCCTGACAAGAGAAGTGCCCGCTATCGGAGGGGCAGGCAGAGCAGGTCTGGAGGGTGGGGCCTGGGCCAGGCCTCTGGAATGTCACCCGGTGTTTCCCTCGCCCTGGGTGTGACTGAGTCGCCCTGGGTGTGACTGAGTCGGGGAACAGGCGCTGGGGGCAAGGACGGGCAGTACCAGGCCCCAGCCCTTACTCCTCCCTGATTGCTACCACGGTCCCTGCCTGTGCTGCCTGCAGACATCACCGGTCAACCCTGCCGCTGTCCCGTGAGCGCCAGGCAGCTGGACTCTGGGCTCCAGGCTTCCTTGAGACTGAGGCAGGAGGGGACCCGCCCAAGGCCCTCAGGAGGCACCGCAGAGCCAGCCATTCTCCCCACAGCAGCCGCTCCCCAGGGGAGAGGACCTGGGCTCCTCCCCCAACAGCCCACAGCCCCACCCGAGGCGCCTCCGCACAGCCACCCTGCAGGATCTGGGCTTAATCCGGCGCACGAGGGCCGGTGGGCGAGGAAAGGATTTGGTTTCGTGCCTGTAGATGCCCGAGCCTTGGCCCGAGCCCCGGGGCACAGGAGCGGAGGCGCCTGGCTGCCCTGCCTCTACCAACAAAGGCTTCCTTTATTAAATAGAGATGCGCTGCATTCCATTCAGAGGTGGAAACTGGACGTGGTGAGGGATGTGTCCAGGGAGTAGCCAGGTCCTGAATGGGCTGTGAAGGGTGCGGGGTCCTGGGGCCTGCCTGTCCCACCCCCGTCCCGTGGGCAGGGCGTGGTGACCTCGGTCCGTGCTGTCTGAAGGGCCACCCTCAGCTGAAGGCAGGCTCGGCGCCTTGAGGCCTTGGCTGTGCTTTGCTCTGGGGGAAAGTGCCCGGTCCTTCCAGCGGCGGTGGGGGCAGTGCCTCCCGGAGCACAGGGCGCAGAGGGGCCGGGGCAGGTCAAATGGGAGGGGCCTTGTCCATCGGAGGGAGGGACTTGGAGGCAGTTCTCAAGCAGGTGCCAGCTGGCATGGAAGCCCCTGGCAGCCCCTCCTAGCACCACTGCCCTGTGGGCACTTAGGATGGCAGGCCCACTGGGATGGGGCGAGGGATGGCCACAAGGGGGTGCTGGTGTGCAGGGCTTGGGAGCTGGGTGGGCAATACCAGACCAGGCTGCCCAGCAGCCGCAGGCACCTGCAGGCAGCAGCTCCCGGACCTGGGGCGGAGCGGGCCGGCCGCCCCAGGGTCCCCTCGCGAAAGCTGAGCCCCCGAGTGCGGGTCCGGGTCCTCGGTCTGTGGTGCCTTCCAGCCTCGTGGAGGCTGTGCCGCTGGGAAGGGAGAAGGGTCATCCCGCGAGGTCCTGTCTTCCTGGGATGGCGCGTGGGACCGGCTCAGCACGCCTCCTCGCCCAGCCATCTGTCCGTCTGTGCAGCTTCTGGCTCAGGGCTGGTCCCGCACCATCTTCCTGTCCGCCCGTCGGTCCTGGGCCAGGCTAGGCCTCCTGGGGGAAGAAGCCCAGCTTGGCCAGCGACATCTCCTTCCGCAGCCTCGTGACCTCCCAGAACATGGACTCTGCTGCAGGCAGAGAGAGGGTGCAGAGCTTGGTGACAGCTCAGGGTCACCTTGGGCCGACGGCCTGGCCCTCCCCTGGGTTTGGGCAGGGCAGCGGGCAGGCGCTCTGGGCTTCCCGTCCCCCAGGACAGATGGCCTCGGCGAGTGGCTGCCCCCTCCGAGGGTGGGGTCTGAGGTTTGCAAACTGCTGAGTGCACACACGGGAAGGGGCTGTGCTGCCCGGGGAGCAGGTGGCGGCCGCTCCCACAGCCGGACACAGACGAGCAGGTGCACATGGCCACACACTCGCAATGCCTTCCCTCCTCACCTCCCAAGGCCTCGCCCGGACCTTGAGCAAGGCGCAGAGCCACCGTGCCAGTCCACGCAGCTGGAAGGAGGTGGCCCCTCTGGACTCAACCCTGGCCTGGCTGCGGCCTTCCCGGGGGACTTGGCCCCCGCAGGCTAGGGGAGAGGCGCACACTCCATACTGGTTTGGGAGACTCTTGGGGAACCAAGTTTGGAGGAGTGGGAAGCTAGGCTATGCAGGATGGGGGGAGGGGGCAGGGGTGCCAGAGGACCCGCTGGGCAAGGGCACGGGGGAGGGGGAAGGCCCAGGTTCAGGGGCCATGAGAAGGCCACGACTGGAGGAGAGGGGTCCCTGGGGAGGCCCCTCATGCAGGTCCTCCAACGCCAGGCCAGTGTCAGGGAGCTGTCCCTGCAGGCCCTGGGCCAGGGAGAAAGCAGTCAGACCAGGTGGGGGTGGCATCAGGCCAGCGTTCCTGGTAAAGCGGGGTTCAGAGCTCCTTCTGCAGCTCACATCAGCGCCAGGCTAGCTGGCCCTTTCCTCACCCACAATCTCCCCCTCACCGAGTCCTGGCAGAAGCCTGGGAGCGGCCCCCTCCCCCTCCCCCAGGACGCCATCCCCCGTCGGCCACCAGGGGGCGCTCACCGTCCTGCCGCACCAGGCCTTGCTGGATGTAGCGGATGTAGGTGAAGAAGTTGCACACAGCAGTGATCTGTGGGAAGAAGGGAGGAGCGGTCAGTCCTCAGACTTGGGGTCCCTCAGAAGGCAGGGCAGGTCAGAGACCAGAGCGGGACGCCCCATGTCCTGTCCCATCAGAGCCTGAATCGGACGGGGCTGGGCTGTTGAGCAATAGCAGTGCTATTACGACTTCGACTAAAAACAATAGCAGCAACTCGCATTTAATCAAGGGCCCGCCGCCAGGGAGCCAGCCTGCTTCTCATGCCCTTGTTACGGAGGAAAGGGAGGCTCCCAAAACGAAGCCAGCCGACAACCGTGGAGGTCACAGACCAATGGTGGCAGAGTCGCCCACCCCCCGGGCCAGCCGGGCCTTAGCCAGGTGCTCCTGGTAACGCCAGGGAAGACAAGGGGATCGAAGCCGCTCACCTGGCGGCCCTGGGTCCCCATGCCCGAAGCCCCGGCCAGGCTGAGGCCTGCTCTGCCCGCTGCGCTCAGACCCGGGCCCTGCCACGAGGACTCTGATACGGTAGAGAGATACTGCAGGTCCCTCCCCAGGCTGGGGCCCCTTCTCCCCGATGCTGAGAGCGCTGGCTGCTAACGGCCCGTAGGTGCCCCTCTGCCAATGGCTACCTGGCATGGGGGGTATAAAAGGCCAGTCCCCTTGCCTCAGGGTGGGACCCACTCAGCGGCAGCCAGACCCCAGCCACGGCCACACCCCGCTTCACTCCACCACCTCCCCTCGCCTGCACCCCGTCCTCTCTAGTGCCCGAGCCTGGCACGTTCCTCTGTTCCTCTGAGGCTCTGCCTTTAGGGACGCCCGCCCTGAGGCAGGACGGCAGGGAGCAGCCCCCACTGGACGTCCAGCCCTCTGGGGAAGGGGGGTCCAGTGTGTGGGGGCCTCAGATGGGGCATGGAGAAAGTCCCAGCTCTTGCTGGGCCCTCAAACACACAGGAACCCTCGGCAGGGACAAAGTGGGTGCAGGGGGGCTGGTGGCCCGGGCACAGGCAGGGAGGTATGAAGAGAGTGTGGCCAAGTGAGGGCACCAGCCCAGTGAGACCAAAATGCGGGGGACAGGGCGGGACTGGCGGAGGTCGGGCAGGAAAAGGCCAGGTGTGGTCCGTGGCCGGTGGCTTGTGAGCAGGGACTGGCGGGGAGCAGGGGGCTCTGGCCCCAGGGCTGTGCCTGGGGGACAGAATTCTTCTCCCTGTGGACCCCACATGCCTTGGTCTCCTCCGGATGGGACCACATCCCCGGGGACCACAACCTAAAACGTCCCCCCTCCTCATCTCCCAGGCCAGATGGGAGTCCTGAAGGTGACTTGGCCGGGCACGGGGATGTCCGCGCGTCCTTCTGCGGACTCAGAGCGGGGAGACCTGGCGGCTGAGCGGCCCAGGCACATCCCTTCCTCTCTAAGGCTCAGACTCCCTTTGGGGAAATGAGTCAGCTCACTCCTGGGGGGTCCCCACTGGGACGACATGCTCGGGTGCCCCGCGGAAGCTGACGGCACCAGACACTGCCCGCACTGGCCAGCCTGCTGCCAGGGACGCGGCCGTTAGTCCGTCCAGTCCCCACAGGCGCCCCTAGGAGGCCAAGGGGAGGAGTTTCCTCCGAGGCCGCCCACACGAGGCCGCCTTTGCACCAAGCTCCTTCCCCTCTGTCCCCTACAACCCTCTTCGCTGTCCATGAGGGGACGGAAGAGTGGGGACCACCCCACACTTACCCCCAGCTCGGCGAGGCCCCCCCCATCAGCCCAGTCACACGGCAACAGGGGGCAGGGTTGGGAGTCCTAGAGAGCCCCCCCGCCCCGCGCTGACGGCGGGCTTTGTGACAAACACACCTCAGGACCCCCCCAAAGCCGGAGCTGAAGCCAAGGTGGGTGCCGGGACTGTAGTCTGACCTCCAGGCCACTGCCTTCATCCGGGTACATTAAACAACACAGGTGGCAGGTGGCACCCCGGATTACGTCTTGGCTAGCGAGAGCACGGGCACCTAGTCCTTCAGCCACAGAGGCAACGGGTTCCGCCAACGGCCACATGCGCTCGGGAGAGGACCCTGATCTCCAGAAAGGAGGCGGCCGGCGCCCACCTTGGCTGCCGCCCAGGAGACCTGGGCCGGGCGCCCCGCTAAGCGGGGCCCAGACTCGTGACGGGGGGAAAGCAGAGTGAACGGGTGCTGGGAGCCACGGTGCGCATGGTGCTTTGTTCTGCAGCCAGAGCAAACCAGGACACCTGGCTGGCTGTGCGGCCGATCAGGCCCCGCACCTCTCTGAGCCTGCCCTGGGGGTCAAGGCCGGGGCCCAGAGTCCCAGCCCAGGGGGCCTAGGGAGCCAAGCGACGCTCTAAACGGGTGACTCACCCTGGCCCGGGACGATGGCGAGATGTAGTAGTGACTGTCCGAGTCCCCGAGCCGGATTCGGTGGCGACAGGCACGGGCCAACCCGCTCAGGGCACACGTGCTGGGGGAAAGCAGAGGGGCCATGGGGCCGCTGGGCTCACCGCCCGCTCATGGGGGATGCGCAGCCGGGAGAAGGCGCAGCGGGAGGGGCAGCAGACAGACACGGGGGGACCTGGCGTCCTCTCCCCAGGCCCAGCCTCCCAAGGAGCCCAGGGCCAAGCCAAGGATGGAGCAGGCAGGAACTCCCTGGGACGGACCCCCCCAACCCCTCCCCTTACCCCTCGTGGGGGGAGAACATGGGCAACCTCATGCCAGGTGTACCGAGGAGCCCCTAAGATGCCTCTCCAGCCCTGGCCAGTTTGGCTCAGTGGATAGAGCGCTGGCCTGCGGACTCAAGGTTCCCGGTTCGATTCCGGTCAAGGGCATGTACCTGGGTTGCGGGCACATCCCCAGTGGGGAGTGTGCAGGAGGCAGCTGATCGATGTTTCTCTCTCATCGATGTTTCTGACTCTCTATCCCTCTCCCTTCCTCTCTGTAAAAAATCAATAAAATATATTATATATATAAAAAAAAGATGTCTCCCTGACTTTACTGGGGCCTCAGACCATCACCCCTTCCCCGGACTAAGAGGAGTCCACTCTCTCCTCCACTTAGTCACCAAGGCCCCAGGTCGGGTCACGCCAGCAGGGCCTTTTGCCGGCTCCCCTCAGCTCCTAGGCAGCCCTGTGCCGCCTTCTTCTACACGTGGCCACGGGTGCCAAGGAGTCAGGCGCCTCTAACGCTCCACACCTAGCCCCTCATCTTTCCCTGCTGCTCCCCACTGCCCAGGAAGTAGCCATGGAGAACCCTGAGCAAAGAAAGGTTAAACAGGCCGCTTGGCTGCAGGGCTTATCAGAGCCTTTGCTGCCTCCAGGGTCACTGTGGCTCTCCGCTTGGACCAGCGAACCCTCTTTTCAGGGACATGTCTTGGTGGCTTGGGAAAGGCTGGCCTAGCAGGTTAAAGCCCAGATCTCATTGGAGAACCTTCCACCCTGGCTCCAGCCTCAGCCCCACCTCCCTGCCCATCCACTGCTCCACCCACCCACTCGGAGGTGTTTCCGTTGATACCCCAGCGTCTCCTGCCTGTACTCATCCAGCTCCCTCCGCCTGGAAGGCCCTCCCCTCCTTGGCAAACTGCTTTCACCCTGCAAACCTGCCTCAGGTGCCCCCTCGATAAGGAGGCTCCCACCCCTGGCTGCCGCGGGGGCCTGCTCCCCAAGCTCCGCCCTTGCTCTGCTGGCCACTTGGTTCTGTTCTAGCCCCGCTCAGCGCGGCCTGAGCAGCAGGAAGGACGAGGTGCCAGGGCCACTGGGCCACTTATGAGCAGAAGGCAGAGCTGGCAACTGACATCACTTATGTGTCAATCGGGGCCCGGAACCAACTGTGGGAGAGGGGGGTGGCACAGGTGCGTCAGGCCAGCCAGGAAGAGGGGGACCCCAGCTCCCGGACTCCCTGGAGAGCCTGGGTCCGTGACTAGGGGCAGGGTGGTCAGTAGGCAGAGCCGCTGTCCCTCTTCTGTCAGGTGCCCCTGTACCCTGCCACCCCGGGAGCCACCCCAGAGCTCCCTCGGGCAGGCAGAGCGCGTCCTCCATGGCCAGGCCCTCCGCAGGGCCGGTGAGGGGAGGGCAGGAGTGGGGCGGGAGCCGGCCTTACTTGGTGCCGCCGTATTCGGCTGCGGCCGTCTTCACCGTGGGCGGGGTGTGCGAAGCCACGGGCTCGATGGTGAGCGTGTTGTCCTCCACGGCAGCCCGCACCAGTGCCGAAAGCTGCGCAGACCAGGGCGCGGTTGGGCGGTGAGGGCGGCCGGGCGGAGGGGCTGGGCCCGGCCGGCTGCCCTCTGCCCGCTCACCTCCTGCACCGTGAAGTCCAGGCAGGGCCCCACGTCCTCGCGGTACACCCTTCCCAGGAAGGGGCTGTTCTTGTCCAGGGTGGGCGACTCCCTCCAGGCCCGGAACTCCGCAAACAGGGTGGTGTCTACCTGCAGGGCAGGGAGCGCGGTGGGGCGGTCGGGCGGTCAGGGCGCGGGGGGACGGGCAGAGCCGAGGAGATGGGAGCAGGGAGGACAGGGCAGGCCGCGGCATGCGGGGTGTCCCAGGGCCCCCGGGAGAGCCCCGCCCCGAGAGGAGCTCCCTGCGCTGTGTCTGGGTGCCTCACGCAGCGGACACACCTGGTCCAGGCTTCATGGGGAACCCCGCCTCCTCCAGGAGGAAGAGCTGGGGCGACCCCACAGGCACCCCAGGCCCTGCACACGCAAGCACGCGCACACGGGAGGGAACACGGGCGCTCGGGGTATAAGCAGAGTGAGTGAGGCAGAGGGATGGGGGGGGGCGCGGGGGGCCCTCTGGAGCCATTACCTGTCGGGAACAGGAGAGAGAGGTAGCGGAGGTGGGGGCTGCGGGCCGCTCCCCAGGCGGGAGCTGCCAGGCCGGCTCGTAGGTGAGGTGAACCGCCTTACTGGGGACCACACAGAGGAGCAGGGACAGGAGGGGGGGCAGCCCGGGCTGGGCAGGCGGGGCCAGCAGGGCAGACAGACAGCAGGTGCATGAGACAGAGGAAGGAGCAGAGGTTAGTGATTGGCCAGACGGCCAGAACTCAGAAGGGGGACAAGAAGCCCGGCTGCACTCCTCCCCGGACGCGCTGAGACACGGGACGGGGTGGGGTTGGGGCCACCTGGCCACCGGAGACCCCAGGAAGCCTGATCCCACTGGAGCCCTCGTGGGCGCTTGCTGGGTACAGCCTCAAGCTGAGCTCCTGACTCCACGCTCTTCGATTCCTCTGTGCCCAGGAGCCCCCCCACAGCACGTGAGGAAGCCGAGGCACCGACAGGTGTCCCCCCCTTGCTCGAGGACCCACGGCCAAGGGCATCCTAGGCCATCGTCCAATCTGAAGCACGTACTCCATGCCCCCAGCCGAGGAGGGAGACAGCCCCTCAAAGGCCACGCTTGTCCCGGCACCACAGCCAGAGGGTCCCGAGGGCCCTCAAGTGCAGGGGAGTCACAAGGTAGTCCCGGCCTCAGGGCTGCGGCCACACGGGCCCAGGTGGCCTCCACAGAGGCCCAGCACCACCGCCGGAGGGCAGGCATTCGGCCCGAGGCAGCTCGGTGCAGGGACGCCGCCTAAGGCGTGGGAATGGGGAGGGGTGCTAGGCCCCCAGATGGCACACCGGGAGCTGAGGGCCATAGGCCTCATTTTACAAGGAGCTGCCCAGCCCTCGTGGCCAGAGGTCACAGACGCCCAGAGAGGGCAGGGCGGGCTCCAGGCCAGGGAGGGGCGGGAGGGGGGTGTCAGGCCTGGTCCCACCGGGCCCCACTGCCTGTCTGACAGTGGGACAGTACCCATGGCCCGCCCTCCGCCCCTCACCTCTTTGCCTTCCTTGTCCGGGGTGAGGATGTGGCCTGCAGCAGGGCACGCGATGGGGCAGAGGGCGCTGCTGGTGCTCTTATGGCGCAAGTGGCCCTTGCGGGGCCCGGCCTTGGTGGGGCTCAGCAGCTGAGGGTGCAGCTCACGGTTGGGAGAGGCGGGCGTGGACGTGATGACCAGTGTCTTCAAGGCTGTCACCTCCGCCTGCAGCATGTCGATCTGGCCAGAACGAGAAGGCTGCCGACTGTAGCCCAGGGTGATGCCCCCACCACCCGCCAGGCCAGCCAGGATGGCAGCACGCAGCACCCAACCCCACCAGGTGCCCACACTGTAAGCGGCCTCTGTGAGGGGCCCGTCAGGGAGCTGGCCTCCCATGGAGGGGCACCCACGCACCAGGACAGCCCAGCTTCCCATTTCACAGACACACAGATGGGCCCCGAGACAGGAAGCTACTTGCCCAGGCTCACACAGCCAGACGGAGGCCCCGCTTTGCTGAGAGTGTGTGCGTGCATGTGCGTGTGTGTGCGTGTGTGTGTGTGTGTGTGTGTTTTGGGGGGAGAGGCGAGGGGGTGACAATGACCGTGGATCCTCCCGCCCCTGGAAGGCTCCAGAATGTCCCTGTGGCACCGGGAATTTCAGTGGTGGAATTGCGGCCCCCGCTGTGGGCCTCGGTGTGCCCACCCCTGGCGCCCCCCCAGGCC